AGCATAGTGCTTAAGTCCTCTTCTTCGTCACCTTGACAATATTCTGCTTCTGCCGAATATCTATTCCTGGAAATTCAGGTGGGACGTTCCAGGCTCGTTTTGGGTGTCGTTTACTGTCCCCCTTTTGTAGAATATTCCTCTAGCTTAGAAACCGTCTTGGAATCTCTCAGTGCGGACTACATACATCACATTATCATGGGCGACTTTAATACTGACCTTCTTAAAACTTCTGCTCAAAGGGCTAAGCTCCTTAATGTCCTGTCCTCAGTTAACTTGTCTATTCTACCCTGTGCTCCTATATAGACAGATCCAGAATCCAGACACGTGGTTAACTATGGTCAGTTGTCTGCTTCCGGATTTTCGCGCCACGATTTATTTTACCTTGCTTATAAACTTCCTATATATCTTATTATACTCTTTGTTAAAAAAACCACCTAAATCTAAGCCAGACACTATCTGGGTACGAAACTTTGCCAGAATGGACCTTGTTAATTTAGAAAATGATGCGTCGTCGATAGATTTTTCTCCGGTGTATGGTACGTCTTCAGTGGACGATAAAATTTAAATTTTCACTGATTTAACTCTGAAACTGTTTGACGTCCATGCTCCGGTACAAGCTATTAGAGTTAAGCGACCTCCAGCTCCGTGGATTACGTGAAGAGTTCGCATGGCGATGACTCCTCGTGACAGGGCTTTTAGAAAATTCAAGCGTGACAGATGTGATGACAACTAGTGTTTGTATAAAGTGGCGCGCAATCGCTGTAATCACATGGTAAGGGCAGCGAAACGTTGCTATTTCCATGATAATATTTCAAACTCTTCTACGGCCGAGATATGGAAGTTTCTCTTATAATTTAATATTATAAATTAAAAAAAATAATTATAAATTAAATCTCTAGGTATTGGTAAGCACTCTGATAAAAATCATAAAATTTCTTTTCCTCTTAATGACCTTAATTCCCATTTTTCAGCCGGTTCTACATTATCCTACCATTAAGGCCGCTACAATTTCAGAAATTACTTCCTTGGCCTAATCTCAACATGAACAATTTACTTTCTCGTATGTCTCTGTTGACGAAGTTCGTAAAACTTTTGTTTCTATTAAATCCAAAGCAGTGGGCTGTGATAATTTGAGTCACCTTATGATCTCTTCTGTTCTCGAATATTTCCTCCCAGTCATAACACACATAATTAATTTTTCTCTGTTGTCTTGGGTCTTTCCTGCAGAAACAGAAACAGAAACTTTTTTATTCAATGTAGATTATAACAATACTTATTGAAAGTCACTTTTTCATTTACCACTGGTTCGCAAAAAAATCTCTGTCCTGGGAAGAACCAGCAAGAAACCCAGCGGGACTATGTTTTTTCCAATAATAGCTTACAATAATGTTTACAATAAACAACACAAGACAAATTAGAAATAGCTTGGTAGCGATCTTTCCTTCCCAGGGGTTATTATCATCTATAAATGCTTCTTGGCATAAAGCTTATATCACCCCCCTTCCAAAAATTGCAAACCCCACTCAACTAAACAATACATACATAAACACTCACGCCTGTCACCCAGAGGGGTTAGGCAGAGTCTACAGACTTCCACTTGGCACGATCCTGACACACCTCTCTCGCCTCCTTCACATCCATATACCTACGCATACATGCTTGTCGGTTAAGGGTACTCCTAATTTGGCCCCTTTTCAATAAATCTCTAATTTGGTCAATAAACTTTCGCCTAGGACGTCCCTTTCCGACTCTGCCACTCACTTCTGCAACATACATTTTCTTTGCAATCTTTCCTCATTCATTCCTTCCACATGACCAAACCACCGAAGCATTCCTTTCTTAATCCTGGTCACAACATCATCTTGCAAACCACACTCTTCTCTTATCACACAATTTCTCACCCTGTCATTCAGATTCAGCCCTAACATACTCCTTAACGACCGCATTTCTACTGCGTTTATTCTACTCTCGTGCTTCTTCTGCCACACCTAATTTTCACTACCATACGTTAAAGTAGGGGCCAACACAGCATTGTGAATTGCCATATGTGCCTTTTTTTGACTCTTCACAATATAGTGTAGGGCCCCATTTACTCTATTTCCTGCGTTCACTCGTCGTTCTATATCCTTATCAACTAAACAACTATAGACCTATTTCTATCTTACCATTTTTATCAAAACTTCCTAAATCTGTGGTTCATCAACAATTGTCTGCCTTTATTTGTAGAAATAACTTGCTATCTCAGTTTCAATTAGGCTTTCGGTCTGGACACAGCACAACCACAGCACTTCTAAAAGTCACAGATGACATTCGCGAGGGCATGGAGAACAGAAAGGTCACAGTACTAGTATTGATTGATTTCACAAATGCGTTCAATATGGTTGACCATGATATCCTCCTTGTTTTGCTTCAAAATCTCGAATTTTCCTCAACTGCTGTTGACTGGTTTACTTCCTACCTTCGTGGCCGTCAGCAAGCTCTCGTTAATGGCCGTGACATATCTGACTGGTGTCAACTCTCCACTGGCGTGCCACAGGGTGGAATATTATCTCTATTTCTGTTCTCCATTTTTATTAATAGAATTAATAGAAGAGAGAGAGAGAGCTCTCTTCTCAACTCAGCTGCTCTTACCATCTTTACGCTGATGACCTGCAAATATATACTCAACCAGACGTCAACTCTTTATGTGACGCTATTGCCAGACTTATATGGATTTAATGAATATCCACAATTGGTCTCGCAAGTTTGATATTAGTGTGAACCCCAATAAATGCCAAGCTATAATAATTGGTAGTGCTCGACAATTGTGTAAGCTTGACGTCAGCTGCGTTCCGCCTGTCACGTTTGATGATTCTATCATACCGTATTCTAATTGCATTAAAAATCTAGGTGTCTACTTTAACACAAACTTATGTTGGTCCACCCAAATTAAGAATATCAGTGGTTCCATTTTTGCTAAGCTCAGTGCTTAAAACATCTTAGAAACTTTCTTCTTGTCAAGGTAAAGATAAGTGTGCAGTCTTTTATTTTGCCCATTATCGACTATGCTGATGTATGTTTCCTGATCTTAATGAGATTTTCCTTGATAAGTTGGATCGTCTCGTCAATAACTGTATCGGTTTTATTTTTCGTCTTCGCAAGTTTGATCATGTATCCTCATTCCGCACTCAGCTTAAATGGCTTCCAATTCGTCAGCAAAGACACATTAGGATACTTAATATAGTTTTTTCTATTTTATTTGATAATCATTATCCGAATTATCTGAAACATAAGTTTCAGTTCCTGCGCGACACTCATGACAGACAGCTTCGTTCATCGGAGACTCTTGCTCTCTTTATACCCCTTCACCGTTCGAGTTTCATATCTTTATCGTTTGATGTCTAAGCCGCGAGCCTATGGAATGACCTGCCTGAAAAATTAAGACAACCTACCTGCAAACAAACATCTACTCGTAAGAAGAATGTTCGTGTTCATTTTATAAAATTGCTTTATAACTGCTAAGCTCCGTCATCGTCATAATTGTAAATATTATTTTCATCAGTATATTAAGTATATTTGCACATCTTATATATATATATATATATATATATATATATATATATATATATATATATATATATATATATATATATGGCAGAGAATGTTTTTAGCATTAAGTCCGCCTTTTGATCCTGTACTTAATGTAAGGTTCAATAAAATTTAAATAAATAGATATGGTACTAGAAAACATTTAATTTAAATAAAATTGAAGTTTCGAAAAGTGGTCAATTAGCCAATCCGGGCCTTGACTAATAAATATGATACCACTATAACGTAAGCTTAAAGAAAAGGACAACAATAGACGTTCCTGAACTGATTTGATAAGGACACCATGAGCGAATGTAATGAACTGTAAGACATTAAAATGTGTATGTGCGGTGCCACTGGGCTGGTGCTGCATGTCTATAAGAAATTATTATAATTGGGGTAGTAGTTGTGTTTTGTTCAGAAGTTTCCTATTCTCATCACCATAGAGTTTAGTAAATTGTCTCTTACCATTAGAAACACAGCAGCATTAAGTATGTCTAACATAAATCTTTATGGTCTTATTGTTTCTGAGACTAAAACAGAGGAAAATAAACAAGATTTTTTTTATAGGATAGTGGCGACAAACGAGCACACAGTCCACCTGATGGTAAGTGGTTGCTGCGGCCCATAGACATCTACATCTATCCTCGATTACAAATCAAAATGAAGATGCGTTCGCCATAAGTGTCTAAGATGGAATGCCTCCTTTCGAGTAAAAACGATCCCCGGTTCACTACACTCACCACACGAAACACAGCAGCATTAAGCTACTATTTTATGCTGCTATTCTGTGAGAGCATGGTACCTTCCCTGGTTGAGCGGACCCATTTGTGCTACAACTATACTACTAATATAACTGCAGCGTAGCTCCACTACAGTCAAAGATTAGCAGCATGAGAAGAGCTGTATATTCTTGACAACTGAAAATAATTTCTATAAAAAACTGCTGTAGCCTCCCGCCTCTTAATTAATTAAGGCAAAATCCACCCTATAAGGTAATCAATGGGGAGCCCTATTATCAGCGATGGACTTTGATAGGCTATAAATAGGAATAAATAAAATTTTCCCATTAATAAAAACATTTTTATATTAACTCTTTTTTATTTTACATGACTAAAAAGCACTATGTCTTAACAAAGTAAGTAAAATTATATGGCACATATAAAATAAGATAACTTAAAATATGCTTATTATATTCTCTTAATTTGTAATTTCCTTTGTTCGTAGTTTCTACACTTCGGACTTGAAGAAAAATACATAATGTACACATTGTGTCTGTCACTTTTTTTTTATAAGTACTACAAAAAAAATGGGTCCTAAGAGTTTCATAAAAACATGCAACTGTGTATAAATGTAACCAAGAAGAAAATAGGAACTCATTTTGCCGTTCAATTTTCCATCTGATGTTCTACAACTAGCCACTTCTTTAAAATTCAGTTGACTATTGTCCATTTTGAAGGTTTCTCACATTTTCCAGTATCAGGACACAGCCTGTTAAATGTTGTGCTGCTGTTGAAGCCGAGTATTTCCCGTTCTTCTTGTATCCTGAAAGTGAAAGTGCTCTCATGTGTGCCTATAAAGTAAGCCGCATGTGAGCATATTATTTGATCAATAATTGCTACGCCACCATCTTTATAGCGAACCAAGTCTGATTTACTAGGTAAATAAAAATATACTTTATATCCTAAACCTTGGAGTCCCTTTTCCAACTCCTTAATTTCATTAGTGGATGCATCAGATGCAATAAATACTTTTTTTACATTTGGGACATAGTCTTCTATAGCTTTATGTATTTGTTTGATTGTGCCTTGTAGTGATGGGATATCCCTTCTTCTGCTACTGGCAAAATCTTGCCTTCTCCAGTGTATACTTATGTAAGTTGTACACATCTCTGTCTTACAGCTTAAGAATTTTGATGTAAAATTTCTAGCAGTACTAACTAAATCCTTACTAAACTTCATACTTTTTCTGCAGTCCCAGTACGACTTTGTGCCGTAAGAGTCATGTAGTGGTATTTCACCATGTGAAAACATGACACTTCTATCCAATGGATGTAGAGCTACCAACTCCCATAGCTTTGATATTTTCCCTTGAAAATTTACACAAACTATCGCTTTCGCAGTGACATTTCTGTAACCCCAAAACCGATCAACATAATTACAATCTTCTATAACCTCCCATTTTTCATTGAACACACCATTTTCGAAAGCATCCTTGAAGTTATGCAAAACGTAAAGACGATCGATTTCTAGCAACTCGTCCGTCGTTTTGGAAAATACTTCGTGAAGCTCCATAACCGGAGCATAAGATTTCAGAGAATCAATATCAAAAAACATGCTCCATGGAAGTGGTGTGCTTGCAGAAGTCTCAGACTTCCAGTGATACAATCGATGCCATGGCGGTAAAACGAGACGATAATTGAGTTTTTTACCAAGATTTTGGGCTTCAGCCAACATTATTGCAAACCTCATATAGACATCTCGTCGTAAATTAAAGCCTTCTGGAGGATTAACGTCATAAAACAAAAACTTTTGGTTCGACTTTATATTTTCACAAGAGTCAGATGAAATATCACAGAAACCGTGTTCGAGATTTTGTTCAGCTGCAAGTTGTGAAAAGGTTATTAATATAATAACAGAATATAGCATTTTAATTCAAAATAAATAGTTTATTTTAATTTTAAACTTTAACTTGATTAAAACAGCTGCTGTTGTGACAAATGACAATAACTATTGACATTGACAACTAGTGACATTAGACAACAGCCTCAGTGTTCCCAACTCTCAAAAAAATCTACCCCTAAAGCTTAATCACCAACCCCTAAAATCATAACAATTAAATGAAAATCTACCTAAAAACATATCAAAACATATTATATAAATAATAAATTAATAATAATAAGTTAATAATAACCAATAATAATTAGTAAATATTGGGAGTAGTGTTGCTGGGTGGTGACGGGATTAGTGCACGCAATTATTATTTTTTTTTGTATTATAATATTATACAAAAATTATATTGTACAATTAGTATTTATGTTATTGTAGACTATTTTTAGGTTAAGACTTATTGGAATAATTTGTACAGTTTATCAAAATAAGATAAATTATTATTAAATTATAATTGAGGCAGGGCGGGAGGTGCTCTCCAAATTAGGAAAGACACATCATTTTATTTAATTTAGCGGATGGTTGAAAAATAACTATTAATATCTTTATTATAATGGCTTTTGCAAAGTTATATCTGATTCCATCAATTATAATAATAATTAGTAACTAATAAATTAATGATAATAAGTAATTTAAAATATTCTTTGCCTACAAAAATTACAATTTATATATAAAACATCCAATATGAGTTCATTTTTCTCAGAGTTTTTGAAATCATACATATTGACATTAAATACACTAAACATTTCAGCGGATGGATTAAATGTTGTGCACGATCCACCATTTCATTGCAATGTAAATCGAATCATAATCATACTCTGTAACGTACGAATAGATAGTCAACGTGTTTCCAGTTAGCATAGACAACTTAGCCATCAGTCACCACCACTTGTGGTCACCACAGAGTAGTTGTAATCTAGGTTACTATGGTTCATAAAAGATAGCTTGATCTCTGCGACAGCTGTCAGTAAAATGAACGCCTATGAAGTCCTGAATTTCTTAGTAGTACAGACAGTACCTGTCCATGTCATACTTTATGGGCAAACACTAATTAGGTCGGCATGCACTAATTAGGTCGGCATGCACTAATTAGGTCGGCATGCCCTTAAAGTATGACATTGACAGGTACTGTCTGTACTACTAAGAAATTCAGGACTTCATAGGCGTTCATTTTATTGACAGCTGTCACAGAAATCAAGCTATCTTTTATGAACTATAGCATGGAGGTTGGAGAACAGGAGAACGGTCACCGTAGAAAAAAGTGTCCCAGAAATATGGACACCATAAGTGAGGCGTTGCGATCGGTAAAATCGCTCAACAAAAGTGATTTTCAGTCTATTTTCCAATCAGATGCTAAACCACTTGCACATCCACGCAAAATAAAATTTTGCTCCATTTTTTAATGTTTCTTTTTGTCAAAAGTTACAAAATTACTAACTTATTAGAAGAAAATTTGTACATTATTCAACTAACTTCATCTACTTGTACTCATAAACAGCTAACTTCGCAGTCACTACTCACCGACGTCAGCTCCGTTATAAATTCTACAATTATCATTACGCAGCGATCGTTCTTCTGTTCTCTAACCTCCATGGTTACTAGAGTAAGGTATTTTAGTAACCTTGGTTGAAATATGTCGCGCTCGCGCCTTAGTGTTTATATTTATGGTAAACACTATTTGTTTTTCATTCAACTCGCATACTCAGTAATGAGAAATCGTACCAGATGTCGCTAATCTGCTAGGTCAACAGCTAAATGTGATTGACTAGATTAAATATTACTCCGGGCCCTAATTTTTATACCTTCATTTTTCTTATTCAAAAAAAAAAGAAAAAATGTAAGAAGTCAAGAAATCCCTAAAATTCCCCTAAAATATAACACCCCTAAATAAATCCCACCTCACGAATTCAGATAATCCATTAAAATGTTGAACTGACAACCAAATAGAAATTCATAAAGTACCATTTTTTTTAAATTTCACTGATATTTATTAAACTAGACTAGTAAAATAATTTTAATAGAAATTCATAAAGTACAATTTTTTAATTTCCCTGATATATCTATAATATTTTTTTGATTTCTGAAAATCAAATCAATATTTCTTAAAATATCGATACGATATATATCGATACTACTAGTTTTTACGGAATTTTTCGCGTGTATTTAACTTTTTGATTACCCGACGTTTCGAACGCTTTACAGCTCTCATGGTCACGGGCAGGACTGAGATGTTCAACATCCATATGTCATAGTTAACCGCGGTTACCATAGATTAAAATTTTAAAATTTAACTTTTGTTCCGATCGGAACAAACGTTAAATTTTAAAATGATTACCCGACGTTTGGAACGCTTTACAGCACTCATGGTCACGGGCAGGACTGAGATGTTCAACGTCCATATGTCATAGTTAACCGCGGTTACCATAGATTAAAATTTTAAAATTTAACGTTTGTTCCGATCGGAACCGCGGTTACCATAGATTGAAAATTTTAAAATTTAACGTTTGTTCCGATCGGAACAAAAGTTAAATTTTAAAATTTTAATCTATGGTAACCGCGGTTAACTATGACATATGGACGTTGAACATCTCAGTCCTGCCCGTGACCATGAGTGCTGTAAAGCGTTCCAAACGTCGGGTAATCAAAAAGTTAAATACACGCGATAAATTCCGTAAAACTAGTATTATTTCAATGTGTAGTGTTCGCGTAAATATAAGAAATCATTATATATCGATACTTCTTGATACTTCCTGCGTCTCTAAAGTAGGGTCCACACGGCAGCGACTTTGGTCGATAGCGACTCGCTGGCGATGTCAAAATTAATGTGTGGGCGTGACCTTAGCCGCGATTTATTGTCGCTGTCAATTGCGGCGATCGAATATCGAATCGCTGTAAATCTGAAAAGTTGAAGTCGCATGATAGTCGCCAGCGACATCGTTGCAGTGTGGACGTGGTAACACGTACGCGATTTTAAAATGGCGGACCTATGTAAATACTCTCGGTCTTTTGTGACTAAATTTATAGAATAATACCGGAATTTACCTTCATTATCCACTACCACGTCCGTGGAGATTATAGTAGCCAAACAAAATATGCCATCGTCCTTCCGGCATAGTATATTATCCAAAACCACACGTTGTAAATATTGCCATATAGTTTAAAAATGCCGAAATAAAAACGTTATGCTTAACAAAAATGATTATCTATAAAATACTTCACTAGAAATAACAGAAGAGGGCAGTGTTTAGTGTTTGGGTGCATAGAATTAAAAATAACAACTTCAGTCGACTTGTCACGAAAGTGTTTCGGAGCACCAGCGATTATGTCGTAAGTATTTCGTATTTTTTTTTTCTTAATTGTCAGATTATTGTACATCAAAATGAACTTTAGAATTTGTACTTTGTGATAATACTTAGGCGATAAAGTTTCACGTACTAAATCGGCTCTAATTTGAACTTCGAAATATTGTTGTTACCAAAACAATGACGTCCTTGTAATTCACAGTCGCTAGTCGTCTTGTTTATGATTGATTTACGTATTATTCAGTGAAGTAATAGTGATTAAATTTCTAATAAACATACTCATACACTTTTTTAGTTAAAATATATTAAAATGTCAACGGATTCACAATTAATATCAATGTGTTCTTCAGGTTTTTTCGTATGGCTAGTGCGGTATCCAAGGACGTTACAACAAGTTATAAATAAGGGTCTCTAGAAACGAGGAAGTGTATTTTCAATATTTAATACTGTTTAATGTTATCACGTGTTTTATATTTGTTGTAAAATATTGATTGTATTGATTCATTTTCACACTTGTTTCGTTTTTCGAAAATCGTATTTGCACACTTTTACTATATTTGAAATTTTAATGTTTTTATATTTTTGGGTTACTTACCTTTTATGATATTTTTTTTGTTCTAATTATTTCAATAGTCAACAATTTATTCCTCGGAACTAATGCAACACATTACGAAGTTTTTGTTTCGCCTATAAAATTTACTTTATTTAATACGATTTTTTTTCGAGAACGACGATTTAGCAAATAGTTTTTAATTTTATCGTTTTAAGCCTCATTATTTTCCACTCAGGAATTGACACTAAACCTTATTTTAAGTATAATAGATAATCATTATCGATTTTTTTAAATAAATAAATTCAATATATAAACGTCTAGCTATTTTTCAATATTTTTATCTTTGCTGTAGCTATTATATTTTAGCTGTTACAAAGGTTTTTGTTACCCAGCAGCGGGGACAATTTCGCGCGGCTTGAGGTGGCGAGTAGTCGGACGTTTGACGCATATTTACTAGCGCGGGCGGACGTTAGAGTGGTTATGGATGGTTAAGAGTAAAGATTACTCAAACAGAAATTTGAAGTCGCAAAGTTAAGATTTTTTAGTCGAAAAATTTAAGGAGTTGGGGAGCCAAATGCTGATCGGGATTTTGTGGTAAAAAAATAAAAAATATTAGGGATGTTTGGCGAAGACAATACGATAAAATCGAAAAAAGCTTGCAAATCCGGAATGGCTATAGAAGATATCCCTACACCACCATTATGGTATTACGATTTACTGAACTTTTTGAAGAATCAAGAAACAACTAGAAGTTCAATAATTAATATTAAAACAGGAAACAATATTCGGGTAAGTTGCTGAAATAAAAACACTATTTATAATTTATAATATTTATATATTGATATTATTATCATCAACTACTGTACTGTATTTATATTAGTAAAATGGTTTTGCCACGAAACACTACCCTCATTATTGAAATATTTGAGATATTGTTCTCGATCATGTCTAGCAATGGTTTGACTTTGACCTTGATTTGTTACTTGTGAATTTAACAATTCATTGTTGACTCTGTAGCCTATATTAATAGTTCCATCATCCAAATTTTCATTATCCACACCAACTCTGATATATTCATTACATTTTCGACATAAAAAGTTATGTAACATGACGCCATTACTATTTTATCAATAAGAATATTCTTTGTTAAGGGTTTAAATATTTACTTGGTGTAGTGTATGTATATATACAAACTTGTCTCGAGCGCATACGTCACAATGTGGGGGTAACGAAAGGCCAGTCTCGGTCCGACAGCCGACCCGGTAACACGTGTGGTGGTGCGTTGACGAGCCAAGATAAGTTGTTAATAAATAGTGAACAATACATGTGGCGACGAGGAAAACGGTAAGTACTTTTAGTTTAAAATAAAGGAAAATAGGAATAAACAAGTCTCTGGAAAGACATTAACTTATTAGTTTTATAATTATTAATAAAAATTTTGTACACATAGTAATTTTATGGTGTTTCATGCTGTAATTTTATGATATTACTGCACTATTTACTTTGTACCGTGGATTAACATGATAATTACTCATATTAAATGTACTACATTGAACCTCGTGATGTATTCACATGAAGGTAAATCGTTAATAAAATTACTTCTAATTTTATTTTGTACTTTATATGATATTCTGGTATTTAAGTGAAGTGAGATGAGTTTAGAGGCTGTCCTTATATGGAATCAGATATAATAAAAATTATAAGGACAGCCGACAGCGTTTGTATTATTACAAACGACGTTGAACGCATTTTAGATTATGTATGTGATAACTACCCGAATAAATGTTGGAAATGTAAATGCATATCGCACAATACATTACTGACTTTAAAATTAAAATTCATATAAATTATAAATAACATATTTTATTTAAATTGTTACATTATATCATCATAAAATCATGATTGAATTTCAAATTCAGTCAAGCAATAAATATCTATAAAATTATTTGTGCCTTGTTTATTACTTATAATAAGATTGATTATTGTATTGTGCGGTGCCGGGTTCGATTCCCTGTCGGTTTGACTAATGTTTAACGAATTAAATTTATGATGTTTAACAAATAGTTCCTTCGATTCATATCCGTGATAGGCTTGTCATAAATTTCAACCAAATGTATTTATCAAAAAAAATTACAGCAGGTAACAACACCTGGCCATTAAATTGGCATAAATCAAACCAACATTTATGAAATAATGGCAGCGTAGCTGGTCATTTAATTGACACTGATCATGTTTTAGCAGCGTAAGCTGGTCATTAAATTGACACTGAGCACAATATTTTAGCAGCGTAGCTGGTCATTAAATTGACAATGATCATGATATTTTAGCAGCGTAGCTGGTCATTAAATTGACAATGATCATGATATTTTAGCAGCGTAGCTGGTCATTAAATTTGCAATGATCATTATATTTTAGCAGCGTAGCTGGTCATTAAATTGACACTGACAATGATATTTTAGCAGCATAGCTGGTCATTAAATTGACACTGACTATGATATTTTAGCAGCATAGCTGGTCATTAAATTGACACTGAGCACAATATTTTAGCAGCGTAGCTGGTCATTAAATTGACAATGATCATGATATTTTAGCAGCGTAGCTGGTCATTAAATTGACACTGAGCACAATATTGTAGCAGCGTAGCTGGTCATTAAATTGACAATGATCATGATATTTTAGCAGCGTAGCTGGTCATTAAATTTGCAATGATCATTATATTTTAGCAGCGTAGCTGGTCATTAAATTGACACTGACAATGATATTTTAGCAGCATAGCTGGTCATTAAATTGACACTGACTATGATATTTTAGCAGCATAGCTGGTCATTAAATTGACACTGACTATGATATTTTAGCAGCATAGCTGGTCATTAAATTGACACTGATCACAATATTTAATTGACATTGTACTGGTGTATTCTAACAGAATACTGGACAAGCAAAGTGCTTGAATTTAGAATCATTTGGTTTCAGGTAGTCCTACTAGTAAAGAACTTAGTACATTAGTATTTAACATGTCGCAACTTGTACTGGAGAAATTTGATTGTGAGGGGGAATCTACATCTATAGGTACTAGATGGGAGCGTTGGAAACGTGCACTCTTTATTTACCTTGAGGCATCAGGTATAGAAAATAGTGAGAAAACGAGAGCATGTTTGTTACACTTTGGCAGGCTTGAATTGCAAGAAATCTTTTATAATATCCCTGACGCTGCCATAATACCTGCTGAAGGGGTTAATGTTTTTCATATAGCTATAGAAAAACTAGATGCATTTTTGCACCAAAACAGAGTAAGGTGTTTCAACGCCATCTATTCCGGTTGATTAAACAAGAACAAAATGAAAAATTCGATAAATTATTAATACGATTTAAGACAACAAGCAAATAAATGTGAATATAAAGATGAAGATGATCAAATTATTGACCAAATGACAGAGAAATGTTCCTCTAGGGAACTTAGAAAGAAAATATTACAAACAGGAGATTCAATAACTTTAAGTAATATTATGGTAGAAGCAAATGCTCTCGAAGCAGTTAATCGACAGATGAAAGAATTTGGAAGTAGCGGCGTAAGTCAAGAGATTAATAAAGTGGATACAAGTCAAAAAGATGGAGACAACAACAAAAAACAAACAATTGAATGCGGGAGGTGTGGGAGTTCAAGAGATGCTTCCCATGATAGTAAGTGCCCAGCGAAAGATAAAGACTGTTTGAAATGTGGATTAAGAGGACACTTTAGACAATATTCTAAAACAAGACAGCAATTGAAAAGGAAACACCAAGCAAGTAAAAACAACAATAATGACAAAAACCGTAAGAAATATAAAAAGAATCATCAAAGAGAAGGTGCTAATCAAGTGGATCAGAATGAAAAGGATGATATACATTACGTTATTCGAATCGATGAGAATAGCGAGTTGGAGTGCAACATTGGTGGGGCAAAACTCAAAATGCTTGTAGATTCTGAGTATAAATGTAATTTGATTACTGGTCAAACATGGCAAAAAATGAAAAACGACAAAGTAATGATACATAAACAAAATCAGAATCCTAATAAAACGTTTTACGGGTACGGAAGTATCAAACCACTACATGTGATAGGGTCTTTCGAGGCGAATTTACAAATAGAAGGCAGATCGGAAAACGCTACTTTTTACATTATTGCTGATGGCATAAGGAATTTACTGGGTAAAGATACAGCTATTTCTATGGGTGTACTTAGAATTGGATTACCAGTAAACCAAATGGAAAAAACTACGTCGTTCCCGAGGTTTAAAGACGTGTTAATCGAAATACCAATAGATAAAAAAGTACAACCAGTTTCTCAACCATACAGAAGAATTCCTATACCACTAGAAGAAAAAATAAGCAATAAAATAAAAGAACTAATTGAAAGAGATATTATCGAAGAAGTTCACAGCTCTTCAAAGTGGGTCTCTCCCATAGTCCCTGTATTAAAGGACAATGTAAAGGTCCGTCTCTGTGTAGATATGAGATGAGAAAATATGGCTATCCTAAGAGAAAACCACCCGTTACCAACCATGGACAAGTTATTGCCTAAAATTAAAAATGCTAAATTTTTCAACAAGCTTGATATTAAAGATGCATTTCACCAGTTTGAGATACATCCAGACTCAAGGTATATTACTACTTTTATTACCAGCAAAGGCCTATTCAGATATAAGCGGTTAATGTTTGGAATTACATGTGCTCCCGAAATATTTCAGAAAACTTTAGAGGGTATATTATTAGGATGTGAGGGGCAAATCAATGGAAAAGATGTAGAAGAGCATGATCGGAGGCTAAAAAGTGTGTTAAAAACTTTACAGGAAAATAATGTGGTGCTAAAGAGAGACAAATGTCAGTTTAAAGTAAGAAAAGTGCAGTTTCTAGGACATGAACTATCAGACGGGGGGAATTAAACCATTAGCAAAATACGTATCGACTATCCAAAAATTTCGACCTCCTACGAAGGTAGGTGAGCTTCAGAGCTTTTTGGGACTAATAAACTTCATAGGGAAATGGATACCAAATTTAGCAACTGTAACGGAACCCCTAAAAGAATTGCTAAGAAATAAGCAGGGGAAATTATCAGAGTTATAAGAACTCTGTGAAATAAAGCAGGAGACCGCGTTTAACAAACTAAAATCTGCACTTTCTACAATTCCTACTCTAGGATATTAAGACGTTAAGGATCGCACTATGGTCATAGCAGATGCAAGCCCAGTAGGGCTAGGGGGCGTATTGGTTCAAATAGACGGTAAAGGACCTCGAATTTTTGCTTATGGTTATAAAACGTTAACTAATTGCGAAAGGCGATACTGCGAAACAGAAAACTTTGCTTTGGCTCTTGTTTGGGCAGTAGAAATTTTAATATATTTTTGTACGGCAAGGAGTTTGAGTTGGTTACGGATCATAAAACACTTGAGATCATATTTGGACCCAAGTCCAAACCATGTGCTAGAATTGAGAGGTGGATATTACGTCTTCAAGCTTACAAGTTTGAGGTCATTTACAAACCTGGGAAAGACAACATCGCAGACTGTTTATCAAGACTGTGCCAATTTGAAAATTTCTCAATGGATATAAAATAAATGGGATGAAGGAGTGAAAACTTACAAAATTTTTCAAAACGAGCTTTGTTTTTATGAAGGAATTTTATTGAGAGGGATTAAAATAGTAATCCCTAAGAAACTACGCAGTCTAGTCCTAACAGCAGCCATGAAGGGCATCCAGGGATAGTGTTAATGAAGGCTAGGCTAAGAACCAAAGTATGGTGGCCAAGGTACGATAAGGATGCTGAGAACTTGGTGAAGTCTTGTAAAGGCTGCACCCTTGTATCGGCACCAAATCCTCCGAATTCAATAGAACGAAGAGAATTACCATATGAGCTATGGGTGGACGTAGCTATCGACCTGATGGGTCCTCTACCAAGCGGTGATTATATATTAGTTGTTGTAAACTACTTCAGTCGGTATAAAGAAGTGAAGATATCTCGCAAGATCACCAGTGCAAAGATCATACAAAATCTCAAAGAAATTTTCAGCCGATTGGGTAACCCGATGACAATAACTGCTGATAATGGAAGGCAGTTCTGCAGTGAAGTTTTCAAATTATTCTGCACTGAAAGAAATATTATCTTGTATAATACAACACCCTACTGGCCTCAGCAAAATGGGGAAGTTGAGCGTCAGAATCGAGACATTTTAAAGCGCCTTAAAATATGCCAAGTTGAGAAAAAGAACTGGCAGGAGGGTTTGTTGGAGTATATGATTATATACAATAGTACACCTCATAATGTGACCAGAAAAACTCCAGCGGAACTGTTCTTTAAAAGGCAGTTCCGTGATAAAATCCCAATGGTTGCAGATATTACTCGTATACTTGAATCTTTTTTTTCATGATTCGTGACCTCGACTCTGAGGTCAGGGATAGTGATCATGGAAAAAAAGAACCGGGAAAGGAATATGCAGATAAGAAGAGCAAGGCCAAAGCATGTGATTTAGTACCAGGAGATAAGGTATATAAAAAAAAACTTTTATAAAAATAATAAATTAAGTTTAAATTACGATCCAGTCCCTCACAAGGTGCATCGGAGTGTAGGTGGGGATGTGGATGTACGTAACGACGTAACGGGACGAGTCTATAGAAGGAATATAGTACACTTGAAGAAAGTTGAAGGAAGATGGAAAGTTCTTAGTGAACAGAACAAGGATTTAAATATTGGAAAGAATGATGGAAGGATAGAAAGTGACGTAGAGGAAGCTGTAGATTAGAATCGTACAAATAAATGATAGTGGAAATGATTTAGATGCTATAAAAGAAAAACAACCTATAAAATATTAATAATTATTTAATTTCATGGTACTATGTATATGATGAATGATTTTCAATAAATAAAGCAGTGAAAAGAAACAAAAGATGTTTTATTATAAATAATTTTATAAACAACCAGACAAACGTAAAATTAGTAAATTATAACACAGGAAGGGATGTAGTGTATGTATATATAAAAACTTGTCTCGAGCGCATACGTCACAATGTGGGGGTAACGAAAGGCCAGTCTCGGTCCGACAGCCGGCCCGGTAACACGTGTGGTGGTGCGTTGACGAGCCAAGATAAGTTGTTAATAAATAGTGAACAATACACCTGGAAAAGGTTTCATTAAGTCTGGGCGTAATGAAAAGGCGTCATCCCCCACGAAGACGTAAGGCAAATTAATGATTTCTTATATTTACGCGAACACTACACATTGATTAAAACTGCTACACCCATGGTCACGGGGAACTGTCAGTCCCCCGTGACCATGGGTGCTGGAAAGCGCCCGAAACGTTGGGAATTAAAAATAATAGTAAAATAAACGCGATAAAATCCGTAAAAGTAGTTTTAATCAATGTAAGGCAAAATAGTTTCACTATTTATTATCCTTGCTGCCTTAGGAATATTTAACGATCCTGAGTTTAGTTTCTCATAAAATATACTTCTATTAATAACTCCACCATCAGTTATTCGACCATTAATTACTATATCCACCATTATAAATTCATAATTTGCATTTGCTATTGCTAATAAAACAATGATGAAATCCTCTTTATAGTTAAAATGGTATAACCCACTATTAGCTGGTGGCACAATTTTTACATGTTTCCCGCCTATAGCTCCTAAGCAATGAGGAAATTGCCACCTTTCTTCAAAGGTTTTTGCTATGTCGATCCATTCTTTTTCAGTTTCAGGAAACTGTAAAAAAAATTGATAGTTATATTAATTAATATTTTTAAATTCAGGTACCTATCGATGAAGATTAAGAAGGAAATAGAAGAAGAATTGATGAGGATTCTGATTTATTTTCGGAGTCAACGTAATCACCTGCTCCCACAACAGCATCTATAAAGACATCTCTTGGTAGTAATAAAAAGAAGAAGCCAAAAGAAGATATTCTTAGTAAAATTAATGCCCATCTCAGCGAACCTACTCCAACAGACCGCTGGGAACATACAGCAAAATCACGGGCTGATATCTTAAAGAGTTTATCAAATAATCAACATTTTTTTGCGGATAAATTAATCAACGAAGTTTTGTTTGAAGCACGAATAAACTCTCTGTCATAAAGTCGTATTGATGTTTAAAATAATAATACACAATTAGTTTCTCAGAATGAAAATGTTCAAAGTGTCCATAATTGAAATGTTACTGATGATGATACTTTTTCACAAAGCCTTTTGATAGATATTGTGAGTGGCCAACTAATTCACGTTCCCCAGCAGATGAACAATCAGCTATCGGAAATTGTAGAAATCCAATTGCCCAACTCCAAAACATCATCTCAAAGTGTTACTATGTATTATAATCATTTTAAACCACAAAATTTTTATTGTTAGTGGATAATAAAAATACATACTTACCAACAAAGTTGTTTAAAATGTACCTTGTAACACCTATCTTTAAATATTCATCTTGTAATGTAGCTATGATCGCATCTCATATTTCTAGAATGATCTTGCTTAGAGGTTGCTTATATATTGCAACGCTGTATTGTAAGTACTGATAAGTTCGTCCAGTTGCTAGAAATCGCAATGTAGCTGATAATCGTTCGTGAGCTGTTATCGCTTTTCTCATGCACGTATCCTGTTTTGTTATCATTGGTTCCAACAGAGACAACAAATGTTGATATGTACAAGGGTCCATACGTAAATAGTTTCTTAAAATCTTTCGGTTCTTGTAGTGCTAACTCAGTAAATATATCATGTAAAATTAAATTTACATGTGAATATCTTGATCTTTAAGGTAACCATTTTTTCGCCCAAAATCTTCTATTTTTCTTTTTTTTTTCTCTTTGTCATATATGCAAACGGCTGCTAGGGCTAGCAACATGCGACGCTTTTCTTTAGACATTACCGGTATGCACGTCTACTGCGAAATGAATACTGATAAATCGATATAATGTAGGCAAAAAAGTCATAAGTCGCCAGCGAGTCGCCATCGATAGAAATCGCTGCGTATAGACCCAACTTAATTTGACACAGTTGTAAAATAAAGAATGGAAACTTTGTTCACTCTTTGAACACGCCTACCAACTTCTTACAGAAATACCCCTAAAATAATTTTACAATACCCTATCAAAACCTGAAGAAAAGGCAATGTGCTATTTTGTACGCATGTATTAGATTAATTAAAATGTAGAGTCCAATGAAAAAGCTTTAAAATATAGTTTAAAATTAAATTTAGGGATACAGAAAAAGATTTTAGAATGGAATAGAATCATTTTTATTTAGTATAGAACTTCCACCACTGGTTCGAAAAAAACCTCTGTCCTGGGAAGGACTAGCAAGAAATTTCTTTTAAATAAAATTATTTTACAACATATTATTTTATACGATAACTAAATACACAAATAATAAGATGGCATTTACATTTAAAAGATAGAGTATAATAACAAAATACTTAAGTGATTTAGTTTAAGTATTCCAGTCCAATAAAATAGGTAACTTAGATTTTCACT